TGCTGGCTTGTTGATGATTAGTTCATATGTGAACTCCCCTCTTCTGGGGATCAATACAACAACAAGCCATGGGGATCCCTCTGATCCGACCGGATCTATCCATTGTGAAATCGCTTCGTCGAACTTTCCGCAGCTAGGTTGAAACATGTTGAAACATCATCAGACACTTGCCTTCATGTTATACTCTAGTCAAAAAGAACGTATATATGTAGGTTCACATATGGCCATATTCTATCCCCATGTCCATTCATATCGCCGTGTTCCACGTTCCACAGCTTGGCTAAAATCGACCCTTTTAAATTCTGATGTTGTTTTGCCCAAGTTTTTATGTTGGCATAAAAAAAAAACACATGTTTTTTTTGGCACAGTAGCTATATAATATAATCCTACATACCCTCTGGTAATTTCACATAGCTATTGAAAATGGCAGTTTATAGTGGATTTTCCCATTAAAAATGGTGGATCTTTCCATAGTTATTTCCAGTTCGTTATGTTAGTTTACCAGAGGGTATCTACATCCAAGACATCTTTGGCTCGGCGCCATCAGGGGATGACCTCGGATGGCTTGGCGGGAAGAGACTTTTTGAGTTTCTTTTGTACTGAGGTGCCGGTTTTTGGGGTCCCCCAAAAAAGGGTGGAAAAATCATGGTGGGGATGAGGCCTAATCACTATATCATCATATCATATCATATATATATACATAGATATACACATATATATGCATGTATATATATATACATATACATAGATATACACATATATATATATATATATATATGCATGTATATGTATACACATACATATATACATACATATATACATACATGCTTATATATATATCTATATATATATATTTTCATATATCTATATATTGTTATATATATAACTACAATATTGTTGCGTATCGTTTTTACGTTGAGATATTTTTAGGGTGAAGCCATCAATCAGTAAGGTATGAATGGGCTGTAACGTGCGCGTGCAAACCTACCAATCTGCAATGTGCGAATCAGTAAGACTGAGTGTTCATATCAAGCCCGGATTAATAACCCTCCAGTGCTTAATGCATACTTTGGGGGGTACCATATGAATAGCATAATATCACTTGAAAGACTATGTGATCAACAATGATTCTGATGGCTCATGCTCATGACCTTATGTCATCTTGGTGAATCTTGTTTCAACTTGGTGAATATTGGGTAAACTGTTTAAAGTTCATTTGGAGTCCGGATTCTGGCAAGACAAAAAACAAAGCCAAAGACATACCGTAAGTCACCACAACGCGACCCTATAATTTACGTGATGGACTGCTGTATCTTGACACCATGTTTTGCGTCAACTTGCAGATTGCGCACTGCACCTGACATGACCACCAACTAGTCGACCGGTCGGTGATAGTAGCCATGTGTTAGTTCTTTATCCGTTGCTTGCCGTGTCATGGGGGATTTTATCCCTGTGGAAAAATTGGGCAAAGACATTCAATGATATAACCAGCCATTTTGCGGGTCCTAATTTTGGCGGGTCCATTGTTGGGGACGATTTGATCATTTGGATCGGCCCTGTCTCAAAATGACCCCTAAATCCAGCAATGGGTGCAGGGCGCCCGGGGGCTTGCGAAAACAGCTATGTGGAAATGGGGTCCCTACATATGGCATGGGATACCCACAGGGCACCCAGAACATACCATCATTTGACTTCACCTTTTCAATGGTCATTTCAGGGACCGAACATGGAGGTACCTACCGTATATTATAAGGCCTATATGTAAGAGATCCCCACAAAATCCAACAAATATGATCAAATATGGCCGCCAGTAGTGCCTTACCGTCTACTGTACATGGACTTATATGGTACAGAACTTCCATTTTATCCTGAAATTCAGACCTTTCCTTTGACATGGCGCCTCGCCAGGATCGAGGACGAATCAAGGAGAAACCCTGGGGGGGAACTCCACCATTGACGGGTCACCAATTCAAAACCATTGCATCCTGATTTTAATCTTGAAAATGGATGGTTCAATGCCATTGGTATCCATTGGTAATTTCATACCCAGCCCATTGATGATTGGATATTTTTGGGGATTCATTGCTGGCGACTTTGGATACGCCGGTGGATCTCAAGCGCTGTGACCCTCATGTTTAGAATCTAGGCCGTGATGAAATACGCCGTTCGCGGCTACAGTATACAAGATTGTGTTTTTTTCTCCGCTCTGTACTTCTGTACTTTCAGGTTATTAAAAGATTGAAGAAGCAGTGGGGTTGAGATCTCAGTTGTCCTTAAATGCCACTGTATTCCACATGGATCCACATGGAACAGGCAGATCTCAGATAGGCAGCACAGGCTTTTGCTCAGCCTTTTGATCATTTTTGGGTCTGTGGGAACATCTGTATTTAGATACCCACATTTTTTGGAATCCAAATGTTTTAGTCACCCACACCCAAAACACCCTACCATCCAACATCCTCGACATCCTCAACTTGATCTTCCAGCGCTCACATGGCGGACGTTCAGCGCCTGGCGCATCGCGCCCTGTCGCCCTGGCTGCAGCATGTGGCGCGGCGGCCCATGCCGCGGGGCGTCCCCAAGGGCGCGCCCAAGTTGAGCGAGGTCCCACGGGGGCCGTGGATGGCACAGCCCAAAACTGCCGAAGCCTTGGGAAAACTGCATGGATTGAATGGTGAAGCCACCTTTGAAGAGAGACTTTCGGAACCTGGGACCAGAATGGATGAGTTTTTGATACAGGTTTTCTTTGATTTTCTATTGTTTAGTTGTGTTGTTTGTTCTTGTTTTCGATGTTTTAAGCTCCACTTTTTTAGGTCTGCAACCTCAGAAATTTATAGAAATGTGGGATTTGAATCCCTTCTAGTGGCTACTCAAAAAAAAAATCGAGGGAAACGAGGTTTTGAACCACTGGATCTTAGCTTAGCCCTATGTTTTTACAATCCAATCCCTTTCTTTGTTTGACGATTGGGGTGTGCTGGAGTGAAAAGTGATGGAGAGCCACAACTGTCTCCAAAAGGATTTGCACAGGGTCAGGTTTTTCTATTGTCCTCTTTATATTTTTTGTTTTTCGCTATTAATTCCTTTCCTCTTTCTGTCCTCTTTTTTTCTCCTTACTTCCTCTTTCGCCCTTTTTTTCTTTACTTTTCCTCTTCCTTCCTTATCCTTTCTTCTTCCTTTCCTCTTCCTTTATTCCGTGTTTCCTTTCTTTTTCCTTTTCCTCTTTTCCTCTTTTCCTCTTTACCCCTGTTCCTGTTTTCCTCCTTTCCCTTTCCCTTTCCTCTTCCGTTTCTCTTCCTTTCCTCCCATACCTGTTCCTCTCCCCTGCCTTTTCTCTTCCTTTTGGAGATGTGTCCGTCTCCGTCCATCTTCATAAATACAAAACCATGTGTGGGCGGTAGGGTCCCAGCAAAAACGCATTTATCCTCTCCTAAAACCAGGCGAAGACAAAGAGTTTTGATGACGACTTATCAGGTTGTAAGTGGACAATCCTATATTTTTGCCCAAGTTATGTACTATATGTGAGTATGTAACACACTCTTTAAAAGGATGAACCGGGCATATGTAACTGGTAACGATCTCCAATATTTCAACCTCGGTTCGACAAAATGAACATGGCGGAATTCCCAAAAAAATGATTGATAGCGGCCTTTCAATTTAATCTGGTACTGTACCCCCTTTGATCATCCCACCAATATATCAGGAGTTTATATTCATGACGATTGACATTCTGCCCAATTTAATAGCATACGCATTTTTTTTTATCCCAGCTTCAATCGTCTAGCTGCACCAAGGCTCACTTTGTGCTTCTTCGTCATGGCAGGTTGGAGGTCAATCCATATAATTCAACAGGTGTGATAGGTGTGTTGGTATTCCTATGATTTCCTTTGGTATTTCTATGTCGACATGGGTCAAAAGGATTCTTTCACGGTACCCTGGTGAAGCCGTTCCAAAGTCACGAAAGGTAGCGTCAGCTACCTGAGTTCTCCGTGCTTCAGCACAAGCTTAGGGGGTATTGGGGGGCCAGCCCACGGAATTCAAGGAATTCTCGCCGTTATGTATTGGATATCAATTATAAGGGGGGGGGGCCCCCCCCCCCGAAAATGGTCATGGGTTCAATTCCCACGGGTGACGCGGTCACGGGCCCCCACATTAGAGGCACACTTTCCATGAGGGAGATGTCCCTGTAGTCCAGCATAATTGGTATGCTTCAGCCTCAATAACAGTTGCTGCAAGGGGTCTTAAAAAGGGGTTTTAAATAAACCCCTTTTCGTGCATCATTTCACGCTGCACAAGACACCGTATCATGCAGTCATGCTCTGGATAAAATCATCTTAGACTGCGCAAAAACGTTTTTGGTGTATCATCTTAGGGGCGCAGCATTTTGACACCACTCCTCTCCCACTACACTACCTTTCGTCCGCCTCCGCCTGCTCTCAAGTTTATGGCAGACGGAACTTCCTCACTGCCTCACTGAGCCCTGGGCCCCCATGGCAGGTCCATAAGATCTTCGGAGGCCGAAGAGCTCTGGGAAGCTGTTCCGAAGCTCTCGGGCCTCTCGGGGCACAAGCTCTGCGATCTGCTCTACGTGCTGGGCGCAGCGCGATCCTTCAGATACCACCGCCGGGTGGCGGAAGAGGTGGCCAAGAGCATGGTGATTTCGCAGAAGGAGTGCCTTGGTCTCCTTGCTAATGAGAATTTTACAGAATTTTTGATAGAAAAAATAGAGTAATAGAGTTGGAGAACCCAAGTTATGGCAATTTTAGTCAGGAAAATATGGGATCAGATTTTGAATGTCATCTCTTCCCCCAAATGTGAAATGCTCTGGCTGAAATGGGCCCGGAAAAGATGATTTGATCCAAGAAGAAACCGGGGATTCTCTGTGTGTGTGTGTATTTAATTTTAGGGGACAGCGACGACTGACAATGGGTATTCAAGTGATGAAAGAGTATATATATATATTATAGTATAGATAAAGGTGGAATGTTATTACAAGAATCTATATATGGAATCGTTCTTCAGCGGCACAAAGATACTTTTTTTTTCAGCATGCACATGTCACATGCAGCAGGTACAGTCGTGAGCTGCAGCTGTGGCCTCAAACTCTGCCATTGGTCTGTGAATATTTGGTTTGGCACCTGGATGATCCACACTTGATGAAGAGCTTCTTAACTTCAGTGCTGGTGCCCTTTTGGCGACTCCATCCCGCTGCAGTGCAAGGCTATGGTCATGAAAATTAGGGACCAAATTGAAGCATTTGCGGGACACCAACCTTTTGAAAATTGGGTAAAACCTGTGATACCGTAGATATGTTTGAATCGAAAAAGAAAACGAACGTTCTTAAGATTGATCGACGGGGTCCCTTTGCAGTCAGATGGGTATGGGTCAAAGTCAAAATTAGATATCATTTCCTTAAAATGGATGCTTCAATCTCCTAATAGTGGTCAGTTTTTTGCTGGTCCATTGATATTCCTTTTTGGGCCGCCATATGCATTGCTGGTTGAAGTATATACTGTACCCTTTTCTCATATATTGGGATGTATAATGATATATACCATTTAAACTAACACTTATATAGATACCCCCTACCCATATGAATTCCTACTCATTGCTGGTTATACCATCTAGAGATCCCATTGATCCCCACTGAGTCCCCATGACATAGATTCGTTTACAAAAAATCCACATGTACCGGGTAAAGTATGGTAAAATATGTTAAATACCTACTTAACATCCATTTACATCCATGAACTACATTAATGTCCAAACTTTATGGAGGGCTATTCTGTTAGGAAATCATGATTTTCCGTTTAGGGATTTTGTTTGGATTCTGGTTCCCAGTTTCTGTGCTTTTCTGCTTTTCCCTGCTTGCCTGCTTCTGCTTTTCTGCGTTCTCCTGCTTGTTTGCCTTTCTGCTTCTTTGCTTCTCTGTTTCTTTGCTTTTCTGCTTTCCTGCTTCTCCCCTTTTTTCTGCGTTTCCATGCTTTTCCCTGCGTTCCTGCGTCTCTGTTTTTCCTTTTTATTTGGTTTCTCATAAATAAACCCAAAGAATCATCATATAATATATACAAATTATAAACCCTGAATCAGCCCTAAATGAACCACAAACCAACCCTGCATTAAAAAAACACTACACAACGCAAATTTAAGTAGACCCAAAACACACCCTAAATAAATCTGAAACTAACCCTGAATAAACCAACCTTAAATAGATGCTAAACCAACCTCAACTAGATGTCAAACCATGCCTAAATAAACCTTAAACCAACCCTGAATAAATCCTAAACCAACTCTAGACAAGCCTTAAACCAACCCTAAATACATCCTAAACCAACCCTAAACAAACCTTAAAACAAACTAAAATATATCCTAAAAACAACCCTAAATAATTCTTCAACCAAACCTAAGTAAGCCACAAACCCAACATTCCTTACATGAACCCTAAACAAACCCTAAAACAACCCTTTGAACAAAAACGATATAAACCCGAACTCTAGAACCAACCATTAAAGAAACCTTAAAACCAACCCTACAACAAGAAAAACCTAAACCAACCCTAAAACCAGCCCTAAATGAACCCTAGTTGCAAACTACAAATTACATGAGCAGTTCGAGCACCACTATGTTGTAAGTACCATGGACAATGAGATGTGCGAACTCATAAATGTTTCACATACCGTTCAAATGGCAGCTTCCAGCTCCAAAATGCTACACATATCAAAGGAAAATGAAGCGAACAGGACATCCAAAAAGACAAGCGGAAAAAGAATAATGTCCAAAACGATTCCGGGCTCAAATTTTATTTGGCAAATTCCTATTTAGTCCCCATATATCCCCAGTATTCCTATTGAAGTGATTCTTTTTGTTTTTTCTTTTGTAGGTAAGTCCGCAATCAATCCCCATGTTTTCACTGGGTAAGTCCAAAATTAATCCCCATGAAATTCCAACTTTTACTTGTAAACCCACAATAAATAACAGTGAGCTTCGCGTTGTTATATATATATATGTTGGGTAAACATGGGTAAACCACTTCAATCACCGTTGAAGTCTGAAGTTTACAAAGCAAATCCCCAATCAACCTCGATTACCATAGTAGTCTTTTTCTTGGGCAAACCACTATGCGATTTCCATGAAATGCCACATCTAAATTGATAAATCCATATACAATCATATTCCAATCATCATTTTTGCAGGGTAACATTACACCCAATTTCCATTAAATTCTGAGTCTTGCTGGGTATCTCCACATGTCCTTTTTTTCAGTGGCCAAACTTCACCGGAGGCGCCCTGGTTCCCCACCACGCTATGGCCGTCTCGAGCGCCTGTGCTCGGGCAGGAAAAAAACTACCTCTGGAGGTGTTGCAGACGGTGCGTGAGGCGCTCTGCTGCTTGGTTGCTGTTGTGACTGCTGTCGTGTATGGCCAGGAAATCCCGTTCGGTTGCCTTGGTGTAACAGCATCGAAGTTGTATTACCTTCATTTGGAGTCTTACTAGCAAGTCTACCGCATGTGGTTGCTTGTATCATGTCCGCTTTGGCTTAGGGAAATCATGTGATCCATCATTCCTTGGATCTATTCCCAAATCATAATTCCACTATTCCTTGATTCTCTCAGGGCCATCGTGGCTACTTTAACCCATGCCCGCCATTTTTGACGAGCTATGCGCCCGACCGGGTGAAGCTCATCCCCAAAAAGGTGGTTCATATATCAACTGGCTTAATACATATCTATGACAATGGTCTAAGAACTTCTAGCAAATATCTAAAATGATACATATATATACATTTGTATATATATGATATATATATATATATATATGATATATATATATATGATATATATATATATACGTATATATATATATATGATATATATATATATATACATATATATGTATATATATCCTGGTTTAATGGTTGACTCAAAAAATCTCCTGGAGGAGACTTCCCTATTTTTCTTCAATGGTTCACTCCCAGGTCGCTGGTGCCATGAGAATCTCCGTCTCTTGGGCCCTCGAGGTTTGGCCAACATGGCACTGGCCTTATCACGTGTGCCTGGCTTGGCGGGCGAAGACGCCAATGCCCATCAGCTCCATGGACGATTTAAGGGTTGAAAGTTGATGAGTACTATGGTTACTATAATGATTGTAGCTATATATATAATAAAGTTATAGTAAGTTACTATATATAAGTAAAATTATTGTAAGTTACTATATGTTACTCTTATGAATGATGATTATAATCATTGCAATCCAACTACACGAATATAAAAGTTTAGATATATATATATACATATATATATACATACTTTACATATATATACACACATGTACGCTGTACATCTAAATCTTGGTGTATATGACAATGTTGCCCCAACCATTCCGCCTTCTGTCCCAAGGTTAAAGCACCTCCTCGCCCGCACCCGGGAGCTCTTACTGGAAGTGGATGACTTTCCGGCATCCTCTGCGGCGAAGAGCGCGCCGCTCTTCCGTGCAGATTGGCTGGGGATGTTCGTAAGCGCCTTAGCGCGGGCACGATGTCGTGAGGATCTCCCAACCTTGAAGCAGCTGCTGGAGATTCATTTCCAGAAGAAGATCTTGGCAGGTGACCTGCAGCTGTTGAAAGATGTTGAAAGGGTGCAAAATAACTGATTGGTGGTTTGGAACATTTTTTTATCTTCCATAATATATGGGATAATCCTTCCCATTGACTAATGACTAATATTTTTCAAGATGGTTAAAACCACCAACCAGATAATCACTGCAGCTAGGGATGTCGCATTTTTGCTGCGTCCCTGTGAGGTGAAGCCCAAAATCTCGCGCTCTGTGCCCATTCCGTGCTGAAACTTGGCGGGCAGGAGATGACGATGATCCAGAAATAGAAAAAGGATGAAAAAGGCGGTTTGGCAGTATCATGTAGATGTAATGATGCATTTAATTTGATATTATAGTAGTAGCAGTAGTAGTAGTAGTAGTAGCAGTAGCAGTAGCAGTAGCAGTAGCAGGAGTAGGAGTAGTAGTAATAGTAGTAGTAGTAGTAGTAATAGTAGTAGTAGTAGTAGTAGTAGTAGTATATAGATATATTAATACAATGATATAGATATAATCATATGTTTATAGAGTATAAATATATAATAGTGATTTTATAGTGTATGTATATAGTATAATATATATATATATTGTGTATGTATATAGTATATAATAAATATATAGTGTATATATAGTATATATAGTATATATAGTATATATAGTATATATATAGTATATATACATAGTATATATATATATACAGTATATATATATACAGTATATGTATATAGTATATTTATATAGTATATCAGTATATATATATATAGTATATATAGTACATATATATATAGTATATCAGTATATATATAGTATATATATAGTATATATATAATATATATATATATACTATATATATACTGATATACTATATATATATGTACTATATATACTATATATATAGTATATATATAGTATATATATAGTATATATATAGTATATATATATATATAGTATATATATAGTATATATATAGTATATATATAGTGTGTATATATATAGTATATATAGTATATATATACTATATATATACTATATATAGTATATATATAGTATATATATAGTATATATATAGTATATATATAGTATATATATATCGTACATATATATATATAGTATATCAGTATATATATAGTATATATATAGTATATATATATCCGTAGCCATTTTGGCTCAAGCGGCTCGAAGTGGTCGTAGCCATGCAGCACCAGTCCCAGTGGCGATATGTGGCCAATGTGGACAATGTGGCCCCACGCCCTGTGGTCGTGCAGCCACCACAGGCGGTGCAGCCGCCACAGGTGGTGCAGCCTGTGGCGGGGTGTCCCGCACTTCCCGCAGATCAAAGGATCGGATTGGTCACCTGAGTTCGATGACAAGATCATGTTCACAGCCATGCCGAACTTGAAGCAGGCGATAAGTCAAGGAGGCCCCATGGCCGTGACGGATGTGGTCAACCGGGCGAACCAGTTCAAGCAGTTCTGCGAGAACCTGCATCTCCAGGTGACAGTGCGGCTCATCCTCAGCTACTTGCACTACTTGTTTGGCGCTGGGAACTTTCACGTGCTTGTCCTTGGTCCACCTGGCGAAGAACACACCTGGACCAAAGCACCACCTCGAAAAGTCTTTGGAGGGGTGTTATGGAAGTTGGGGCGCACTTCTGGCCAACAGCTTGCCAGACCTTCTCAGAAATGCGAAGGCTACCAGGGCGAGTGCTGCGTTACAGGCCGCCATTTCTTTCCTTCAACGGAGATCCCTTATTGCCAGCGAGAAGCTTTCGACCTGGCGATTGACGCAGTTGGAGGACCGGGACAGGGATATGGAGCAGAGCCTGAAGAAAAGGCCGCGCCTATCCGAAGCTTCGACAGCGGACAGTCGAACCATCAGCCCGGTCATCAGCCCTTCTGCAATCTGCGAGATCAAGGATGAGTTGAAGAAAAGTTATGGATGGAAATTTAGAGGCAATGGACAATGATCCACCTCCCGCAAGCTTTGACATGAGACCATTTGCAATTGTTTGCCCAATTTGAACATACCCGAGGTCACATCCCACGCCATTCTGCGCCATATAGTCAGTTTGGGCCTCGGCAAGGAGGCTGACGGAAAAAATTGGTTGGCCATGGATGGCCTTAGCCGGTTCGTCGACAGCTGTGGCACATGGGCGCAGATGCGGCATTGAGGAAGAATTCCTGCGCACGAAGACGACGAATGGACTTTGTGATGATCGATGCTTTAGGCTCTCAGCTTTGTGCTTATCGGGGCCTCAAGGTTACAAGGCTCATTGGCACATATCCTGACAGACCATGGCATATGAGTGTCCTTGTGTTCGTCCGGTGGTTTCTTCAGGCTATGCCATTCTGCAGCGCTCCTCCGCAATGGATTTGTTCAATCAATGAAAGGTGACATCATCATAATGGTTGAACATTGATTCTGTCATATAGCAAGGCTTCGTAACGAACCAACATTGTAAATTGTAGCTACCGGTCGAGCTGCTGCGTCAATGTACAGCGAGCAGGTCAATGCATTCTCGCGCTTTGGACCAAAAAAAACAGTCTCTTGCTGAAGGGACTACAGCTCTGTGCCTGTGTTGCGATTGGAGGGGGAGCGGTGGCCTTGGAGCATCCAGCGCCACCATTCCAGATTGAGCGACCATCAATCTGGAGAACGGCCATCATTAAGCTGTTGTGCGGACGAGACATGCCTTTCCGGCAGTACACGTTCAAGCAGTGGAAGCATGGAGCATTGGGCGTGAAACCCACTACGCTGTTGTACGCAAACGTGGTCATTCCCCAGACCTTCGCAGCCAACGAGCAGCACAACCTGGTGAAGCCTGTCATCCAGCTCATTGGACGCGCTGAAGATGGCAGCTTTCGAACTTCTGCCGCAAAGGAGTATCCGCCAGGTATGAATCGCAGTTTTGCGGAATCATTTTGGCACCGCATCCAATTTCGATTCCAACAGCATGGGCCCTCAACAAGCACAGAAGAGTTCCCATCGCTGGCCCTTGAATTGGCAACGACTTCCGCCAGTGTTGATCACGGCCAGAAGCTCATGCCGGATTACCAGCCAGTCTAACAACGACCTGGCTGGTATTGCACGAACGCCACAGGCAAGACCTAAAAGGCCGAGCAAAAAAAGTGTATATATATATATATATACAATAGTATGATATATATATATATATATATTTATAATCGTATATATATATATTGGATATATATATATATATAGTATATCTATACAGTATATATTGGATATAGTATATATATATATAGATACTTACATGTACATCTAAACATCTGCATTTAAGTACATACATTCACATATGTATAGATACACTTCTGTTTTTACTAACATGAACGTTTTCAAAACGGAGTGTCGCTCCACCTGAGGAAACTGGATCTACTGGATTTGCGGCGAAACCAACCACTGGTTGCACTGGCACCGCACGTCAAGGACTCCGAACTCTGTAAGGAAACTTGGATATATCTATATTTATAGTGTATATATATATACAGTATATAGTTCGAGTGGGATATCGACATGTTCCAACGGATTATCCTTTTTGGCAAGACATGGTTTTGTTGCAACAATTTTGTACAGTGTTTACCTCTTTATTAAGATTGTTGCGAAGTGAAGTAACAGCAGGTCAGTCCCAACATAGCGAGGCGTTTGTGTTTTATATAGATAATATTGATAAATAATTATTGTTATATATATATATGTAATTATATGTATAAATATATATATATATATTATGTATCACTATGTATGTATATATATATATATATTTACACATCACTAATATTTGTTTATATGTTTGGTCCATCACATCTCCTTGATATTGCTAGCGAATCGAACCCTGCCAAGAGAGTGGAACGTAATATAGAAAGTGGTTGAACATCATAATGTGTTCACTTGAACTTACTTTAGATTAGTTAAATTAGGCATGGATGTACTGGGGTGAAACAATCTAAACATGAACGGTATCCAAACAGTGGTTTGCCTGATTGGTTCAAGAGAACAGGTTTTTTACTGTTTGGTTCAATTGATTCAAGAGATATTACGGGGGCGAAACATAGGAATCCGAATCAACTCACCGAACCAATCCAGAATAGGAACCAATCCACAATACCGCAACCTTATGATGAACTAGGGAATTTATAGCGACCTCACTATCAGTGATCTTAAGAAAGGGAAACTATCCAAAAAATGGTAAGCAGTTTCTATTGTAAGTTTTGTTGTTAATGATAATATGTTTAATATTTGGGTGTCCCACTATTACTACGCTGGATGTTGCTGGGTGTTGCTGGTTGCTGTTGGTTGTTGTTGAAATGCAAACAAAAATCAGACAGGTGGTTTCTACTCAATAGTTTGCAATTGCACATACCAAAGAAAATAACTGTTCAGTAAAAATGGTTCTGCTCAGGATCTATCCAGCCAGAATGTCAGAACCTACATACCAGAACAAATGCCCAACAATATGGATTTTTCTATTCTCTGGTAATTTAACATAGCTATTGAAAATGGTGATTTATAGTGGATTTACCCATTGAAAATGGTGATTTTCCATAGCTATGTTAGTTTACCAGAGGGTATTCCCTGGAAATAGGACAACCTATTCAATCCCATGAATTTATTGATCGATTTCCAGTTTTAAAATAGTCCGCAAATGGGGGGGAAAAACCCCTATTCAGACACAGCCAAACTTCAGAACCGTTGATGTTTTCTTTGGATTATCCAATCTGAGAGTGGGATTAAATGCTGTTAAATGTTATATAAATCACATTAAATCCCATTAAATTTTGATTTGTTGGTTTTTCTGTTGTTGCTTCTATTGTCTTCCTGCTGGATTTCGTTTCAGGAGCTAGGTCGTCTACAAGGGACGTCTGGTGCCCGTTCTGCGTGCCTGTTAGCTCATGCCTATGGGAGCGCCTTACTCCTCCACAGGGGTCCCATTGGTGAAGTTCATGCTGTCTATGATGAGGTGGGGGTCAAAACATGTCCAAAACCACGGGTTCAGGATAGATCAGGTTAGATTCCATATGGATGGGACAAAAAACGGGGCATACAAACAGTATTCATCCATATTTGCACCATTTTTGAATTGAAACCCATGGTTTTGGGGATCATCTATTTTGAGACAGCCATGATTAGAAATGTGGCCAAATATTCGGTGCGTTCAACTACCGTGGTGCTTGTTTTGTATTTAAAAAATAACACCTGAAAACCCTGAATGAAAACCCCGGTGCAATCATGGCCCCTCGCTTAAGACTGATTTTTTAGATGGCAAGGGCCCCTTGTGGGTTTTTATAAAAGTAATTAGATGTAATTCATAATATATATATATATATTATTATATATATATATGAACTACTCGATTCAAGGTAAGGCTATGGGTCAAGCCCTGAATGTGATCCCAAGAGATGTTGCCAGAGGGCCCACCATTTATTTCTTGTGATATGGTAAGTTCATTTGTAGTTTTCCCAGTTGCCCAGATAATGAATCACCATGATCTTTCCTCCCCAATCATGGATAAAATCTTAATCCTCAGGTCTTACAATATTTGCTGGATTCGAAGCACAAGTTGAAGCTGCAGAACATAAAGCTTCGATTTCAGATGCTGACAGCCGTGTTTCCTGACCAGAAAAAGCTGAAGGAACTGAAGGAAGTCCCTATCGGGTGGCTGAGAAATACCCTGTCATGAACAACAGAAGGTGTTGTTTGTACATGTGAAATGCAAACGGAATGACTATAATTTCCTCAACTCAGAGATCTGAGCAGGATTGGTCAGGTCGGCATATTTGTTGCAGCGATAGCAATGTCACACGCTTTTCTTATGTTTTAAGCCTGTGCATGCAGCGGATTGACATGGTCATGAAGTCATGGCTCAAATTGTTGATCCTAAAGTGGATGGCATTATCAGTTCGATACGATAGCCAAATTTAGTGCTTTATCATGTTTAGCATCAGTAGTCATGATTAGTTCTGAACATGACCAGACATTTGGGGGCCAAAACCATTTGGGTTTGCTTGAAAATAGGGTACTCTCAGATCATATGATTTACACATATATAGTATAGTTATTCTCCCCATAAACACAGCCATTTGGCGGTATACCCCAAGTACATGTCAATGCATATCATCTTGGTGGTTGTATATCCCCTAAAATTAATCTTCCCACTATTGCTGCTGTCTATCTCACCATTTTAGCAACACATTTCCCCATTTGTCAAACCACAGGAACTTCGCATATCCCATAGGATCCATGTATGGTATATATACTAACATTGGGGGTAAATTGATGGTAAATGTTACTATAGCATACATGGATCCTATTGGTATCCCTAATTTCTTTGAAATGTCCCGTTACGCAACGGGTCGAACCATCGTAATCCAAGGCAATGCTGGTGGCAATTCATCGACACAACAAGCACTTCGTCTCGCGGCTCGTCGCTGGCATCCTTGCGACGAGTGCACCAAACTCTTGCGGCTCGCTGTGCGGGGCGCTGGACGTTGGAGGTCTTTTCTGTAAGTTAAAGTATCGTACATGATGACAATAGAGAATCACTACATATCACCGCTTGATGTACTTAATTAGACAGTATAGCAAAAAACTGTGGCATCAAACCAAATCGGGATGATTGAAACAACAAAGAAAACAACAAAAATGGATCTGGAGGCACCAAGAACGGATGGGATATTGTTGGATATCACCAGGATCGACATTGAAGATGACCCACAGAAGTGGGACATTTTGAATATGCAACATATTTTGTTCCGTCCTACACAAATCTGACCTGCATACTGACCGCATTTTGCTTCACTTGTAAGAGACTTGCACACGTGGTCAGAGCACGGTAACGAAGCACCCCCATTTTGTGCTGGGGGATGTTTCTGCAAGTTTAAACGCAATTTGTATACAGCTCTTTGACTCCATCACCACATCATACTGCAGCGTGGTCAATTGACTAGCAGGTATCCACCCTGGCCCAGCCACAGTCACAGTGATGGTGTTGTAAAGTCCCGAACCTTAACGTCATCAGGTTATACCGCTGGTGGAGGGGTCATGTGATCACCCCAGAAGATGAAGCTCCAATTCGAAAGTGTTTGGACCAGCGAATTCTGGTAAAATTGGGGATGTGTTTTCTCATTTGGGTTGATCGTAGTGACTACAATTGCACGAATTTGTTTGTGCACCACTCATTGGATTGATTTACAGCAACATTAACATCAGACCATGGTGCTAAATCCCAGTAAATTCTGTGTCTTCCAGTCGTGCAGAACGCACAAAATCTTGATTGAATTTCCGTGTGTTTTCGGAAAAATCAATCTCCAACATCTTCCAACCCGAGATTTTATGCCCAAATCACCCCAGGATTTCTGAAAAATCGGGGGCTTTTCACCCATCCCCTTTTTCGATGTCCCCCATAAAGCGGCGCCCAGCGCACCAAGGCGGCCGTCAGCGCAGCACTGCCGGGCCCTGAGGAATCCATCGGAGAGCAGGAGGTCATCAGCACCACAGACCATGCTGAAGTCGCCAGGGCCTTGCCAGCGGAAGTGCAGTGCCTTGGTGCAGGCTGTGTTCAACGGGTCTCTTTTAAAGGTGCCAAGATAAGATGGGATGTATATTAGCTACATAGGCTATATTTTGTAGAATATAGATATGTATAGATATAATCATGATGTAGAATGATGTAGAATGATGTAGAATGATGTAGAATGATGTAGAATGATGTAGAGTGATGTAGAATGATGTAGAATGATGTAGAATGATGTAGAATGTTGGTAATTATTAATTATAAATGTATACACATCTAGAATGTGTTACATAATATAGTATCTATGTAATTTAAAATAAAATAGTATATAGTAATTTTATATACCATAATATAACATATTATAAGATCATATGATATAATATAATATGATATAATATGATTCATAATAATATAATATATATATATATTATGATATAATACAGTATACAACCAGGAAAGAGGCTTCAGGTTCCCCGGAACGCAATTGAAGTGGAGCTGGAGAAAGATTTGGAAATGTCATTGTTCAGTTCCTTTTACAGTGTTTTGCGGTCTTCATGGAACATGATAACACATTGAACGACTTCAACACGCGGACAACATACCTGGGGTATGTTGTCAGCGGTTTTAACTAGTTCCAGGTGTTTCAAGTTCTTCATTTTATGTTGTTTCCGTAGAAACCAGTAGAATTGCGTGTTGATAGAATTTCAGTGTTCTCATGGATCCCATAAAAATGTCATAATTCCCCAGAGAAGCATGGGCGAAATGCACACACAATAACATTTCAACATAGCAACATCTTCAACATCTTCAACGTGAAAACATCTTCAACGTAGCAGCATCTTCAACATAACAACGTCTTCAACATAGCAACATGTTCAACATCTTCAACGTAGCAGCATCTTGGCTCTAGCCCAGTTCAAAGGACGTTAATACCGCACCTACCCACCCTTCTGTATATTAATAGAAGATCAGACATGTACAATTGTATCGCAAGATTGAAGGTTCCTCGATGTTCTGGGGAACCTCAAGCCTCGCCTAAAAGCAAATATATATATATGTATGTGTGTGTGAGAGGTATAGATAAGGTTGAGATGAGAACTCCAATAATCTGTCATTGGTTTTTTTTTCTGGACATCATGGATCTGGGTTTTTCACCTCACCAGGACCTTCAGCTTGATGAATATGATTCAGGGAGGGATGCGATGACATATCATAGAACATGGATGAGCATGGTAGGACACTGAATTCATGTGTTAAACAATATGTGTGAAACCAGTTTCATACCATCTTCAGTTTGCTGTAATCCATTCCATCAGGCGACATGGAACATAAATTGTGAAACCCAAGCAAAATCAGCTAGACATGCTGGACAAGCCATGCAATCTAATTGTATTCAACCAAGATTAAGCAAAAACAATGTAGATTTTTGAGATTTGACCATTTACCTAGTATGTCCTAATGCATTGAGTTCTTGCATATGGGCCGTAAACATGAATAGATGCAATACAAAACCAGCGTTTCTTCGGTGGTATTTCATATCAGAGCGAACGGATTACAATGCGGACCCAATACTCAACCTTTTGGGTTGTTTTTTTCTCAATCTCCCAAATAGTGAAAACTTGAGATTGTAGATGGGGTATACTTTACGAAGTTCCAACTGAAATTGGTTTGTGAGTTCACTGCACCAGCCAAAAATCATCCCAATTTACCATGTTGATAGTGTCAATGTAGCGTTAATTCAGTCTGTGAAAGTGCATGCCACGTATATAATTCCTTTGCAAGTCATCAGGTTTCCAACGGCCTAAGCCTTAGACCATAAATCCTGGATTACAGAACTGGAGGGAAAAAACAACTAATTGCACGTAGGAATAGCCAATGACGATTTGGGTAGTCACGCATTCTAGTTGACAATCTACAGTCTGAAACAAAGACCTACGTCTTTGGTTGTCAACTTGTGATATGTCCTATGAATCCTATGATCTTTGGAGGGTGTTCCCTCAGGCCACGAGCACGGATGGAAGACTTTGCTTTCCCATTTTGGCTGGACATTGTGCTGATTCCTCTCCGCCGGGTGGAAGAAAAAGAGTGGCCCAGCGGCCAGCGAGGGCCCTTTTAAAGGGGCTGCCATATCCCAGCTTGACTGTGGGTATATCCAGCTCAAGCCAGGGTGGTTTGCCATGGAGTCACTGGAACCTCCAAGATTTGGGCATAAGAAACATGGAACCTCGTATGTCAGCTCCCCCAGTTCTATGGTACAAAGGTGTCCGACGTTTTTGTTTGTTAAATGTTTGTTATGTTTGTTAAATGCCAGAAATCAGCAACAAAACCATGGTTGCTTCAGATGAGTTTACGGCCTTGCAACTCAGCCAGGAGTCCTTATTGTCAGGCAGCAGCCACACCATGGCGCTGAACGCCAGGATGATGGATTGCTTCTTGACATCCACAGCTGTTATATCGCCATAGCCATTAGGGGCATCCCCAATGACTTGTCAGTCTGACTTGCCAGAAACGATTTTGGTTTTTCTGCAATCCTGCATTGGAAGTTTGTGGCATGGGGGTCTCCGCATTAGTCTAAAGATGTCTAAAGGTGTCTAAAGGTGTCTTGCCCCTCATATATGGCTGCGTCCACAAATTTCGTACCCCAATGTTTTTCGGTTCATCCAATGGTTGAAACCCTCGCGTTCACCCTTCTTCAATCGCCAAATATCTATTGGGGTCTGAATCCCAATCTCAATAATTCAATATTAAATCCCATTAAAATCCATTAAACACATCCCATTAAATCCCATTGGATCCCATTAAATCTCGTCCCATAGATACCCCTTTCTGGACAACCCACAGCCCGGCAGCCCACGTCCGAGGTCTAGGAAGCAATCTGCAGATGGAAGTGGTACACTGCCATTTCGACAATGCGAATGGCTTCTTGGTGGCTGAGTGGTTTCTCTTTTTCTATTTCTATTTCCATCGTGAATGTCTTGGAAAAAATGCCGATGGGATTCCAAGACATGTTTTTTCTTCTTATGATTGTTCTGTTTTTTCTGCGTCTATGTTTTTTTTCTTCATTTGTTCACTTTTTCTTCTTCGTATACGTTGAGTCTAGGTATATGAATCATGTATTATTCAGGGCTTGAGAAATGTATAAATTTGTCGGACATTGAGGGTTAGCCCTAAATTTGCTATTCCAGTGAGAAAGATCCAAAATTGGTTGGATTGTTTTAGACAACCCCTGTTTTTGATCGATGAAAAAGCACTTGGATTCAATGAGGCCTACATGGAAAGTAACAAATGCTACGAAAAGAGGATTGTTTAGGATCGTCGAGGTACTCGCATCACTTGGTAGTCTTGGTAATCAATGATTGTCACTGCTGCTCTTTCAATTAACGACAATATCTCTTTTTGCAACAACTGTAAATATAGTTTTGAACGGTCGATGCAGTGTCTGAAGCAAATTATTCGTCTTTCCATCAAGGACACATTGGGATGGGTCAAAACCTCTATGGTACCATATTTTGGTGGATGAACATCCAGCTTCAGCTGGCTATGTTGGGTGTTTCCAAACTGGGCAACCAGGGTTTGTATCCAGGGTTTGCTTTTGGCTTTTGAGATAGCCTTTTTACAATCTGTGGTTTTTAGGTACCCCAACATCCAGTTATTGCCATATCTCGGGGTTCAAAGCCCTCATTTCACCCATGCACCGCCAGGTCAACGCTGTTGTTTGGTGGGAATGAGAGAATTTCAGGCCCGAGCCTTGGGACAAAAGATGGCCAACTTCGGTCCCATTGGGTGCCATTTGGCTTGATTTTTGTTGACCCATAGTTGGCAGAGTTTTTGAGACCAAAAGTCTCCAGGACTTTGGCTATTCTATTGCGCCTCTACTTGAAGAGGTTGCTGAAAAGGATAGCACTTTGGCGCTCCTTGGCTCAGAAAACATGGACGACGTCGAACAACTCGTTTTTCGTTCTGGAATTTTAGTTGATTTGCCTGGACATGTGGCAAAATGCCACGGGTTGATCTCTTGCCTTCTTTCCAACGTCCCTTTGCGAGTCTGTTGAGTCTGGATGATTTCAAAACACATTGACTTAGGTGACACCTCTTTTTCCGGTTTGAAGATACGACACCTGCCCATGACACCCCAAAATCTCTTGTTGTTGACCATGATCTCTGAAAAGATGGTAAAAGATGGACGGTCGATGGCAATTCTGCAGTTCCAAATCGATCATTTTTGGACCCCGAATTTCATCGGACAGTCCTGAGGAACAACCTTCAAAGCAGTGGCCCTGAGGGCGCACCAACCAGTCCGAAGGTTACGCCGGTCACTTGTCTACGCTGTATGTGTGTATGGATTTTCCAGTGGCAAAATGAAATAGGTTTATTAAGTTTATTTCTTGTATTCTTGTATTTATCAAAATAATATATATATATAATATATATATAATATATATATATATATCATCGATTTATTTATAGTTGCTTGGTCGGTAGTTTCAAAAACGCCATCCACCCATTGGGGATGAAACATGATGACACATTACTACTGTAATGACTGATATTGATCAGGCTTGAAACAACCAACTATTATAATAGTTGTGTCAACAGCATTTGACACGTGTGCAACAAGTCCTCCCGGTATTTACATGTATACTTACTATTAACTGTAGCTTGCGACCTCCCCAGGGCAGGCTAGCTTTTTGATTTGTAGGTTTGATTCTTACTCATAAATGCTGAATGATTTGGTAGGTTCAAAGTGATTGCTGGGTGGGCAGATGTCATCATCCTAGCCGATGGTTTCGATGTGGTTGTGCTTTTTGGTATCCTGGATCTGGTGGTTATTGTGTCTCCCCTCTTCTCAGAAAGTGCTGACATAGTTCAAGAATGTTCAGGACAGGTTGGCATCAGATGTCCATCCAGAAACACACTATACTATCTAAACGGGGTCCAATAGTGGAGATGTCAGGCAATTTTGCGACATAGTTTCGGTTTCTTGATACACCAAATGGGGGTATCCAAAAAAAAAACAAAGTACCAGAAGTACCCCAAATGGATGCTTTACGCTGGAACGTCCTCTTAAAATGGATGAAAGCCCTCGGCCATCCATGGCAGCGCATCATGGCAGCCCAGGAAGGCAGCGTTCCCGAAGATGCGACTGTCTCTTGTCGTCATCCACGGCGACTGGGTGATATTAGGGGTACCTTATTTAAAGGGTATCCCCATGAGACTTATACGAAACACCATGGGAAGAATGAAACTTCTAGAAACCAAACATGTTCTTCCAATGTGCTGCTTGGAACCCCAACGAAAAATCATGGCACTGAATCGATCTATGATGTGTATATTGTATTATAGTACATCCAATTACATTATATACATTATATTACATAACATTATTTTTTAGTTTATATTACATAACTATATTGTACAATATTTTATGTGATATTACATTATAATATAGTTGCATTTTGTTATATTATGTTATTTATTCTGTATTATATCTATGATATACATATTCGATCATATTCGTAATGTTCTCAACAATCTATAGGTTTAGTTTGTTTTTTCGGACCAACCTGACAAGTCGCCAAGTCTTCCCAGGTTCTTTTCAACGCAGACACCTTTGACATTTTGAACATGGGTGGCGGCTTTGGACAGCTCTGTTCCCGCGCCAACTTACCAGCCAATGATCTGGACGGCGTGGCGAGCATTTTCGACCTGTCGAAGACCACTGGCCCGAGTTCATTCGGTGCCTCGCTTGACACATCCAGATGGGATATAGCAGTTCTATTTGATACTCTGCGGTGACTTTTGACATACATATATATATACATGAATCAGTGATAGATGAACGGCCGTGATAGATGAACATAATTACAGCGGCTGTTGAAAGGAATCCTAGGCAACCCATCATAGGCCATCAGCCCAAAACGGTGATATGATCTGTACTTCATACAGAATCACATGGATTCACATGCTGTCTCCGATCTCCAGAGCGATATATCGGAAAAACGGAAACTACGATGCAGTTTAATGGCGTAACGTGTTGCCACGAGCACCAGGGGTGCATCGGAAGGCTCAAGAATAGGGGTGTAGCAGTATATCAATGGACCACAGAAGTGGGATAACTGTTTTAGCTGTTGGTTGACGACCCAACTAATGGCGTCAAACCAATAACAAACCATCCCAATTTCACTGGAAATGGTCATTTTGTTCGAGCTTTGTGATTGGCTTTACCACACGAAAATTCCTGTCATTTACTGCCCATGTCCATGTGCGAATTTTGTTGCTTCACTTCCATCATCAGAGCATTGAGGTCGACAGTTGCAGGAAGCGATCAATTCATGGGATGAAGCTGCTCCAAAGGCGACACACTTAGCTCCTCGACTGGATAAACAATGATGTCAACACGCGGAAGATCTATAAGTGGTTTATAGTGGTTTCACGTTTTTGGGGATCTGAGCGTGTGTAGCATATAAGCATGTATATTGTAACATGTTACTGTATAAAAAATGTCATGTATAATATATATATACAATTACAACATGCATCTGTGGTAAGAGTCCTCTGTGTAAACTGATCCACACATGCAGAAAATAGAAACACAACTCAAACAAGTATTTGAAGGCCCAACTCTGTCTGATCTGGGGCCCCGAAACCTCTGACCATACATCAATACATAATCGTCAAATTTGACTTGCTGGAATCCCAAAGTGACAATTTCTATGTGATGGTTTTGCATTGGATATCAATCAGCAAACGGTATATGTAGGTGTTTGTGTATGTGTGCCTATGACTATAATCTGTCTATATACAATTCTACCGTATATATACATAAACTGTATATAACATTTAAATATACGGAATCTTAAATATAAGAACTGGTATTTTGGACTACCTCCGAGAAGGTTTTCCTTGGCCCGCCCGGCCGTTCAAACATACGGAATCCATTTTATTTAGATATACATTTAAATATACGGATTTGAACTGGTGTTTCATACTACCTCCGAGGCTTTGTGGTCTGACCCGCCCTCCACATATTTAAATGTCGTCACCATACACAGCACTTTTTCTATTTTGTCCATTGAGATATTTGCCAGCAACAGGGGGACCAACGATCATAGAGATGGAAGGCCAGCTAGAAGAGTTGCTTATTGGCTGGTGTTTCTTATACAGTTGAACAATGCACATCGATGATAAGAAAAACAAAAAAGTAGTGAACTAATGAACTTGCTTAAAACTGGTTGTTTTATTCCGTTGCAGTTTTTTCAATCGTCCACTCTCCATGTCTAAGAGATCCAATTGGCCAATTGACAACTCTTCTCCAGCCTCCGTGAATCTCAGCTAGCTGAACTGGGGCTCAAAAAATGATCCACAAAATGGTGAACATGGGTTTTAACATGTTTAAATTTGATAAAAACCAGAAATGACCAGTTATATATTTGGTTCCAGCCCATGGTCATGGCCAGATGCCAAGAGTCAGCTTCGCCGAGGCGAACGTCGACCTGTTGGGATCAATCTTCCTTGATTTGGACTTGCTACTGCAGCAACGTGGCTCTGAGTGGTGGTTCAGATCTGTTGACATCTGTGCTGTCTCAGTGCCAGTTGACCACCAAAAATCCTTGGTGATTTGCCAGTATCCCTAGTATCCCTAGTGATACAGTAGTTGAGCAATGTATTGAGAATGATGATAAACCATGCTTCTAGACATGTGCAAAAAGGATCAAAAAGACATTCAGCATGTGGGTCCAAAGTCCCAAAAATCATCAAAAATCCCACCGTCCCGGCCACAGCAGGACCCAGCATGACTTGTCTGCGCCTAAGGAAGGATAGCGTCTTGGAGCATTTGGTTGGAACCCTGCAGGCCGGGCCACCGCCGGGCTCCACGTGAACACGGCCATGACGGTACCCTGATCGCAGGGGTAAAGCCTATATCCATTGATTAATAGTGGTTAATAGTGGTTAATAGTGACTAATGATTGTGACCAAGAGATTGATCAATATGGTTAATGAGATATGGATTGAACTCCTAATCATCATGATAAATATCTTCATAGGCCAAACCGGCGCGATGATACCAATTATGAAGGTTGAGGGTTGACTTACACCAGCTTGGTATTCCCTGCTAAATAAACCACAAAAGGTTAGCCATTGGCTTCCTAAGTTTTCGGAGATCCATTGGCCTCCAAAACCGTGGTATCATGTGGCCCCGAAAAACATCCCAGAATTGCTGGGAAGTTTCCTGACAGGAAAGCCTCACACATATATGAGGATGGTTAAAAAGAAAAACAACACATGGTAACATCATGGTAGCATCATGGTAGCATCATGGCGGAACTATTATCCGGCATGTTCTTTTGGGAAAGGCTACCCTTAAGTAGGCTCTGTTTGGACGGGCTCTGTTCGCCAGGTGACTCGTGTGATTCCACCGGAACTGTCACCTTCCGCCAAGTTGACACAGAGAAGCTCGGTTTTTGGAAGTTTCGTGGCCTGGGGTTCGATCATTGTGGGGATAACATGGGACAACATGGGATAACACATTGGATTCTTGGCATTTCCCAGAATTGGATGAGAAAAAAAATCCAGTTGAACCCGCTTTTTTCGTTTCCGCTAGACTTTGCGGCTAAAGTCTAGCCAACTTCCGGTTGACCAACAAACCAACCCGGCTATACCTTTTTGTAGCTCAAATCCTAATTTTGGCTGGTACTTGTAGGTACTAATAGAGCTCCATGAATTTTCCCAACCGGCCAAAAAAAGGTACCGGGTAACCCTTCGGTGTCATCAGCTCCGTGGTCCATGGCTGGACAATTCCCTGATTCACGATTTTCCGAGCTCTCAACCTCCATTTTGGAGCTTGAAACAATCCATTTCAGTCCGGGATTCTTCCATTTATAGATATATATATATATATACAGTATATATATTATACATATATATATATATATTTATTTATGGATATTTATAGTGGATTTTCCCATTGAATTTGTCCGATGAGTTTTCCGCCTGCTCGCAAGGCAATCTTGCACGCTTCGCTGGTCGGAGCGTTCGGCGGAGCCGCCCTGGGAGTCGAGGCAGCCATCGAAGTCGTAGCTCCAAGCGCAGCGATGGATCGGAGAGGCACCAGATTGAGGGTTCAATGGAGATACACATGGATACACCATGTATGCAATATATATATATATATGGGTAAGATGATCCGGTGTACACTTGGCTCTGCAAAACGTACACCGGCCAGCCCTTGCCAAGCGTACAGATATCGATTGCTGGGCCATTGGATACTGAAGGCGATGTCCCTCAATTTTGCCCCCTGACCCAGCCAGCTTCCACTCCGCTGCCAGCCTGCTCTTTCATGGATAGGGACGGTGACTCTGAAGTTGTGCTAAGGTGCCGTTTTTGCCAACCAGATATCCTGTTTGCCATGATTTGCATAATCCAACTTTTGGCAGTGTATATGAGACATTGTGTGCAATGTGCTATCTCTGCCGCAAACAACTGTGACCGGCTGGTATCCTGGACATTTCCAAGGTGGACACTTTTGTTCACCGCACTGATGTACAGTTTGTTGAGACTAGTCACCATTTTGTGTCGACAAAACCTGGGATTAAACAGGCCACCCCTTTTTGTGCAATTTCTCTTAGCCTGTCTACAGTGTATAGAACATCCTAGGTCTCCTGTGTTGTGTCTTTCGAATAGTCCAGTGGGGCTCTTGTGCCGTTCGATGATTTGTCAATATTGTATCATTTTTCGGTTTGATACCTTAACACTGACCGGACTTCTGGGTGATGTTGAAGCACCACAACAGTTTTGCTCCCAGAAGATCCGGAAGATCCACTACTCGATGTTGATCGGTTTGCTGTTTTCATTGTTGTTTTCTGTTGCATTATTCCTCCATGGACATCACAGGAATTGGTCTCAAGCCATACCAACCCAATTTGGTACCTGTCAATGTGTCGATTTCTGCCTGAAGTGTATAGAATCCCCAACGACCATTGACAAATACTTGCTTCCATTAGTTGGAACACCCGCTGATCAGCCATTTTCACAGCCATTTTCCTCCATTGGGATTCATGTTTCTCCATGCCCTATTTCACTGGCACTTGGGTGTGACATTGATGGCGATTGTGTTAAGCCTGTATACTCCTGCACATGTTGGAGCCCAGGGCTATGGCGTTTGCTTGCTATATCATTGGCCATCACGGATTTGGCTAAGTTTTTTCACGCTGCTTTATGTGAGCACATGGAACAGTTCCATGGCTGGATGATCATGTCATTCCTTGGATATTTGACCAGTTTCCATTGTACAGTATCTGTCATGACACTCATGCCTCACTTATTGCCAGCAATGTATAGCCAAGGTGATTGTTTGTGGACATTGAGGATGCCCTGTCCATTTGCGTTTGACGTTTTGTATGCCAATATGGCATCAGCTGCATCAGATTGTTTACCAGATGCCCTCCTCAATGCTTCCTGCGAAACAGGGTTCGACCAATTTTTGTCAGACACACTGGGGCCTTTTTTCCCAGTTTTTGCTTGTCTTTTTGAGAGGCTACGACCCTGTTGGAATATCACGGCAGTGGATGTGTCCTGTCTCTGGTGCCATAACTGTTTAGATTCTTGCACCCGACACAGCCTTCAGCACAGTGATAGATGCTGCTTGTTTTTGGCTCTTGCCTGCACGCTATCTCAACATAGGCCAAGAACGCTGACAGCAGTGCTCTGTCACCGACTTGCCAGAGTCTTTTGCCGAAAATTTAGTGAGCAACCTGTCCTGCCATACTTTTCCAGCCTAATTTTGCCTTATGCCTTTGCCTGTATAGCTTTTTCAGTTGCTGGGGATCAAAGTATACGGTTGCTTTTGCGTGTCTCTCTTTCACCAATGGTGCAAGCGGCAAAGAGATGCGAAATGGGAGCTGCTCCTTTTGGCCTTAAATGTTCAGTCAGCTTGCTTGAAAGGACCAGCGACCTCCCTTTTTGTCATGCCATGGTCAACCAAGGGCTATCAGGTTTCGCCGATCCCAACTTTGGTGAAGCATTTGTATTGGTCTGTAGTCCCATGCCACCAGGGTTGACCTTAAAGCAGTTCATTTTTTTTGCCATGGTTTGTCATCCTGCAAACTTTCGGGAGACAACATTGTCTTTGATATGCCAATTGACTTGTGCCATGCTCTCAGTGCCTGCCATGAAGTGTATAGCATCCTCTCAGGCCAGAGTTTTTTCTTATTTGCGAGTACGGCCTTGCCAAGATGGCATTTTGCCATCTCAGCAGCGATCATTTGATCCTTATGTAGCCATGCGAATTGGTGAAGCATTGCACCCTGGTCCTGACCAGCTTTGCCTAAACTTTGCCATAACCAATCCCACCAGCATTGTTTCCAAACCAACACAGTATGCTGAGCTCATTCGAGAGCACGCCTTAGATGTTGTCAGTGCGTCTGAAACAGCGGCCACCCTTGCGGTGCAACGACAATTTGCCAATGCCATGCGCCACATTGGTTTTCGTTCTAAATGGTCAGTTCCTGCTCCGGACAGAGTCCAGAGGTCTGATGGACTTCCTTCCTTGCGGGGTAAGGCAACTGGTGTTGGTTTATTCTCATCTTGGCCCATCAGAAAAATTGGTGATACCATTGATGATTTCCATGCCTCTTCATCAAGAATTGGTCATTTTCTCTTTGAAACTGGCAGATTTCAATTGCAGATTGTTGTCATTTATGGGCATGCCACCTCCGGATCGGGCCGAGCCAACACTCTTTTGCTCCAAGCTGCCTTACAGGCACTCTCCCATTTCGACCTGCCTTATGTAATTCTGGGAGACTTTAATTCTGACCCCCTTGCGCTGATAGCAGAAGAAGCACAAGATAGACATCTGGTTGACCTTCGACAGTTGCATCGTCAAATCCATGGGAGTGATATGCCCCCTACATGCAAAGGAGCTACACAGCCGGATACTGCGGTGTTCTCCCCTTCTGCGGCCTGTTGGGTGTCACAAGTCACTGTTCTTCCAGCTGGCCATTTTGATGCACACAATGTTGTTCTGTTTCAAATGACCATCCCTGCTGTAGCGAGAGAGACCCTGCGAATACCTCTGCCAAGACCATGGACTGACCTGCCAATTGATCCGAAGTTCTTGCCTGAATCCTATGACCTGGCCGTGGATCAGCTTGGAGAACCACAAGATTTAACAGCTTGGGGTCGAACCATTGAAGATGCAGTTGACAGGGCATATCGCTGTACCCAGCAGGAAAATGAAGATATTGCTTGGCACCAAACCAAGCCTCTTCCCAAGCAATTTCGAGGACGTTGCCAACCTCGAAAGCCCCAGCTGGCTCAGAAAAAGCTCCTCACCAAACCTCCTAGACCGGGGGATTATTCGCCACCAGGGGAGGTCATCAGACGTACCACCCAATGCCGAATCAAGCAGGTTCGAAGAGTCCAAGCGCTCTATCGCAGGGTTGTTAAGGCACACCAATGCCAGCCCACTCCCCAGGCAATGATTGAAATGACTCAGGAATGGCATGCCATTTTAAGATGTCGTGCCTTTGGAGGTTGTCAGATTAGGTGGTGCCAACAAACCCCAGAGCTGGGTCCTCCACCCTTTGAGGTCCCCCAGGTTGGCTATATTGGCACCATGCTGCAACTGCTGCGGTTTCAGACTGATGCAGATGTTGCCTTTGACAGGAAACTTCACAAGGATCGAGCTCTCCTCGCTCAAGACTTGGATGCCAGGTATGCGGGTAATAGGGCTGCCTTTGCCTCGGTTCGTGAATTTACTGCCCCTCCTTTAGTTGAGATGGTTCGTAACCTTTCGGAAGATGCCATTCTGGTCCAAGATGAGCCTAATACCTTGGTTGCCTATTGTGACAATGCAGAACAGTTTGACTTTGCTGCTCCAGTCCATGTTGGAGACATTCCTTGCACTTTGGTCCACAGGGATATGTATTCCTTGCAGCTTCGCATGGCTGACCAGCATGTGCTGCCTGAACATGACATTGTTACACAGCGACAGATTACAGCTGATCCATGCTCCATACTGTCCTTGCTGAAAGACTTTTGGATGCCACTTTGGAACCAACCCAACCCTGAAACACAGGCAGCTCCACAGTTTCAGGCGTTTGTTGACAGTCTGCCAATTCATTTGCCGGCACCAGCAATTGATATGGACGACACTAATGAATGGATTGCTGCGGTAAAGCGGTTAAAGATCCCCTCATCTCGAGGGATCGACGGCATCTCCTCCCAGGAGTTGCAACATTTGCCAGGCCGTGCCATTTCCCATGTTCAGCGTATCATTAATGGCTTTGAAAGTGGATTTCCAGCATGGCTTATGACAGCATTCACAATAGCCGTCCCGAAGACCTGTGAGATTCCAGAGCCTTCTCAGGTGAGACCGATAACTGTCCTGGCTCAGCTCTATCGATTATGGTCTCGGGTCATTTGTAAGCAGCTGTTGGCATTTATGTCCTTGCAGTTCCCTGATGAAATCACAGGCTTCTTGGCTCATCGTGGGCCTTCTGATGCCTATCTCCGACAACAATGGCT